TTTGATTTCTCGAAAGGTATTGGTCCAATTCGATTTGCGCCAACATACTGCCTTAATGGTAAAATACCTACCGTAAAAGTTGGATAACAAACAAAAGGCTACAAACTAATAGAACCTCACCTGTAATATTAATATTACTCCCCATGACATGACTGCAGCAATCACTGGCAGTATAATAGCAGCGCTCCCAACGGCCGTGTGCTGCCGGGATGATGGCTTCTCGCACCGCGCTCGCCACCTCCTCGAAGCTCGGGTCGAATGGATAGCAACCACATGTTCCGTCGTCTTTCACCTGGTAAACAGAATTAGTTATAGACAGTTAATAAATATCCCAAAAAAGCCACTGTGTAAACAAAAAACTGTTAACTCCGACTGTCCGAAACTAAAGAAGGAAACGGAGAGAAACAAATTCACATTTGTGAACCTGCTTAGGGTTACAAGAACAAACAATAAATGTATGTTAAACAATATAAGGTACTGTTTTAAGGTTATGCCTGGGAATTATTACCGACATAACAATATTGTGGAACCAAAAGATAATTTTAATTGATTAATACGATATACATTTTTTGACAACTACTATGTTGTTGTTATGTTTTGTTAGCCGATGAAACTTGTACAGAAAACATTTATGCGTTCTCCGTTTATATAACGCCGTCTATATAACTACGTCGATATTACGATAGAAGCTGTCTACAAGCTTTAGATTCAGCATGCAAGTAATTCATAACTAAAAATAAATTGCACACGTCTTTTATATAAGTAACTAGAGAAATTTTATTGACACCGCTAGACGAGTTTACTTTTTGTATACAATAATCACCTTAGTCAGATCATCAAATACCACAAGAGCATTACCAAACGTGCCGGGAACATTAGCTAGTACTTTATAAAATAGAACATACGACTTCGAGACAAGGCGCGAACCAAGGTCCATAAAAGCATCCTGCACTAAGGTGTATGGGATTGCGTCCGGCGACGTAGAGGAAGTCGGGCGTGTACAGCAGGCAGCCTCGCCCCGCCACCCAGCGGTACACCTGCTCGTGGTAACGCACGCTGCGGTAATTGCAAAGCCGGCCCTCGTCTGCTGCCACCGTCTCCGGCGGTTCCTAGTAAAAGCAAACGGAAAATATTAAAACAACAGACAGAACGAGTTATTTCTCTATAATGTTTCTGGGAACAGATCTAATAGAGTCGGACGTGCTGTTTCCGTTACAAGATGTCAATTTAATGCCTAAATGCAAAAATATAACCCAACCGAAATCATATTAAACGTTTTGAAAGATTATCTTTTTAATAAATGCAGGATGAACGTTGACTTTAATAAATGAATAACTCACTTCGCAAATATAGATATTTGGCTTATCACAGGCTAGCTGCTCGTTAGTGGTGAATGCGACTCTGGGGTGTCGCGGCTGCCATATTGTCTGCACCGATTTCACCGGGTCTACGAAGCTGTTTAGGTATGCCGCCTCCTGATGTATTAGAAAAATACATTAAAGCTATTAAATTAAAAAGAAAACACCGAGAAATTATAACAAGCGTTCAAATAGGATTAAGTCAATACATTTCCGTCCTGTGCTTTTTAGTTTATTTTTGTCGATCAGTGCGTAACGGAAGTCTTTACTTATAAGTGTTACAGTTTATGAAAGCAAAAACCATGCAAAACCAGGAATAGGATCAGGCTAATGTGTCTGATCCGATCTGCATCCCTCAGAGTATAAACCGAGTATTTACCCAACAAATGAAGTCTACCGTTTATGTCTTGATAACAATTTCTTCCAACACCACGTTACATCATCACCAAACAGTTGTCATCGCTGAAGTTAGATTTGATTTCATCAATCGATTACTGATATCTACATAGTTTTGATAAATTATCAAATTATCGCATATGAAACATATTTAGACTTTATTTGTTATTTAATTTTTTATAAACTGTGGATATTATTGAATGAATATTGTTATTTATTCATACTTTCGTCTCAATTTCTAAGTGATACAAGTGTTACGTGATTAAATAATATTTTCTGAACAAGAATCAAAAACAGGGACCAGCATTGTAACGACAATGGGGTCTATGTACAGCTGTGAACAACCACAGGCTGAATCTTCATTAATGTCAAAATTTAACAAGCAATTAAATCGATATCAAAAGAAAATGGATTTCCTTAAAATGTTTACGTATTCCTGAAATATCCTGTACTGTCCAGTATCATAACATTTGCTAGTTTGACAGAAGACTACAAATTAAGTCTTCACCTGGCGGCATGAGTTAAATCAAAATTAAATTTTACTGGAAAGTTATATAAAATTGAACATAGTCATTTTTAACAGCAAATGTTATTCTAACAATGGACACAACAAAAGCAGGAAATATGAAATTCAAAAGGCGGATTTAAAAGACAATCGTGTCACTTTAATTTAAAAATGAATTGTTAAGCTAAACTCTTTAACATATTCACAAGACTTAAAAACATTACCTCCACACCATACACAACCACAATCGGTATAATCCAAGGAAACTGATAAATCAACGTCAAAAGTCTGAATCCGTACATGTTGCCGTAAAACTTTCACCAAACTGAATCATAATGAAGTTATTATATTAGGGAAATAACGTCAACAATCAAAACTATAAGATTAAAGAAAATCACAACCACAATAAGTGAGGAATAGCGAACCGCACAGCATCAGCGCATGCTCTAACGCACTATTTGATAACAAAATGCAGTAACATTCCGAACACAAACCAAAACAGCTTTGTTGATTCTCTTCAACAACAGCTATTATCTTTTCACGATCACGGAGCCACTAATTGTACTAACATAGCTGTTTACAAATTATCATCGTCCGTGATCGCTTATCTATCAGAATAATCACTGTGATTGGAATATTCGGGCTTTCAAAACTTCTATTATCGCTGGATATGAAAAAAGTCATAAAATGATAAATTCTGTATATTATTGTTATTGCAGACATTGAATTAAAAGGCATCATAGCAGCAATATAGTTTTTACAACATATTTATCTCTGGCGTTATTCTATTGTTTGATTTTAACTTTATTCCTTCCAGGTCAATGTTCTAAAAAGTAATTTACAATATTTTTCTAAAATACAAGTTGAATGAAAACCCTTTATTTTCTTTGTATTTGTGTCTACCATTACATTAATACCTTTCTTATTTCACAAAGCTTAAGCTATAATCTACAAGTAGTTGTAAACTTGTATGAATCTTAAGAAATGATTTACTTTTTGCTTCTCGGACGTGAAAGAATCAGGTGAAGTGTTACGTCAACTGAACAACAATGCTGATTATGTCATGAGGAAAAAGAAAACGCAAATAGAATTCTGCGTATGAGTTGAATATGCGCTCCATTGCGTAGGGCGCCCTGCTGGTTCTGATCACCCTATCCTCACGGCGGTAGTACCAGTAAGCCAATTTTAGTAACCAAGTCACTCATGTAAAAAAGTCCTTTTTGTGAATGGAAATGTGGTGAAGTTGTAAATGGCTTTGTATTCCCTTCCTCTGCAGATACTTTGCTATTACTTTCCCGCAGGCGTTAAAATGAAACTACTGTAGTAAAATAATAGCAAATTATTATTTTAATAACAATTTTTCTCGTATTATCGTGTGACACAAAGTTAATACGACAAATATAACGATTAATGTCAACACCGGAAATCCCTACCTCAACTTAGAGATTGTAAAGATACATATAAATAAGCTTACTAAGTCAAACAATGGATTACTACTTTTGTAACATTGTATTTCATCTATTGTGTTACGTGCAAAATCTAAAATAGATATTTCAATGTTGATTTATCTCAGCGCTCATTGTTGTAAGGCTATTACCAAAATACATTGTAGTCTAATCTAAGTATTCGAATCTTAGAATTTGACTTCGACAACTTCCATAATTATTCTCCACATTAAGACTTAGGTTACATTTGCTAATTCGTTTTATATCTACACACTTGTATCCACCATATATTTACTTGATTCTTTGACAATTTTCAGTTTCCATCTTTCTAGATATGTTAAGTATAAATTAACAAATAGGAGAAGAAATTTATCTGTCGATTACTATATTTTGATTAGCAGAGAAAGTGATCTTAGACCTTGAATCAGTTGATAAGAGCCCAACACGTGTCGACCGTATCTATTCTGACCTCATTAACTGGGCACCATCTCACGGACACATCACAGGACCGATAGTATATTCAATCGATACAATAGTAATCCAGTATGAACAAGTTATAACTCATTTGATAACCAATAAAACCACACTTTAATCCTAAATCAGGGGAACAATGTGGCATCCCACAGTCATTGTCAGCGTAAGGCGCATTTGCGAGACCCGCCACTGCCTTCAAAAGTGCTACAAAAGGCGGTAGAAATCTCTCGCTATTAACTTAAAACAGCCTTTAACCGCATAATACTCTGAGGAACAATGGCACCTTACACTTCTTAAACGGTCAAGACTTTTAGTCTACATGTGGAATATTTAAAAGTCAGTATGTATGCCCTCTTCCTCTATTAATTTGGTGAGAAAATCTGACCGTGTCGCCTGACTTAATAAATTGCGTCAGTAGCTATAATTTGTTAAAACCCAATCTCGGATAACCTTTACAAAAAAGCGAATTTGTAAATTCGCTAATTGTTGCAGCAATACTATATTTTTTTGTAAGATTGATCATCTAAAATTACTTTAGGGGTAAAAACATAAATTTACTCCGTCTTCGTGACTTTAAACGTTTTTTTTATAAATTGTTTAACTATAATATATAAACAATAAATATTTACATTTTGTACCAAAACAATATTTAAATTAAGGCGTAATTAACAGAATATAAGATGCAATCATTTGCAGTTAACAGTTATTTAGGCAAATGAGTTGCGACCTCTTGACTGCTGCATAGATAAAATATATAGTTACCGCTGCCCCTCGATAGCTTTTTTTATCAGGTAGCGACGTCGTTGAAATGAGGATAGCGTGAACAAGCTCTACTCTAAAGTAGAGTGCCATGCAGACTTACGAAGGCTCGTATTTTCAAATGACAAACTTTAAAACTAGACAAATATAAATCTGCTAAAGTACCTAATGCAATTTCTGATATCGCTGTTATATCAGTAGTCATAACATTTTTATTCAAATTGCTACATTACAATAGTATAATACCATGTTTAATTATCCAAGTATATGTTAAAATTTTTAAAGGTCAGGTATAACAATCTTTATCATTCATAAGTGTCCAATTTTTATCATTACTTGCTTGCTGTTATCGAATTATGTTAATAAAATTATGATAAGCGTAACTTAAATGCGACCGATGACTTTGATTTGTTTGACGGTATTGTACGCAATAAGAATGTAATCCGACACGTCCGTGGTAGGTTTTGTATGAGCAGCGGCAGTAGCGCAAGAGCAAAGAGATTTTTTTTTTACTTCGAGCAAATTGTTGAACGAAGTTGACAAAGCTTGAGATTCGACGGATGCAAGGTTACTAGAATTAACTATAGTGGAAATTAATTTTAAGATCGACTTTTCTATCCCATAAAATACACACATTTCTAAGTGGTTTAAACTGCATGAGACATGTGCAAAAATGAAAGTCTGGACATAATATTTGAGTATCCTAGGACAGAACAGGCTTTTTAAATTAAAACATCTGTTTTTCTACTGTCTAGAACGAGATAGGTATTATATTACAACCCGAGTGTCCTACAAGACGCACTTTTTGCTTTATTAAAATCTGGTGTTTAAAATAACATTTCGAAATAACCTCTGAACTTAGATTACGAAGCAATCTTTGAATTATGATTGTTTCGAATGTAAGTGAAAAACAACGAATAAAATGAGTAATAACATTTGATATGATATTTAACAATTAAAGTACTGCAACAATTACATAATACGTACTACCTATTACCACAGATAATAACAACAATAATAACTATACTAGTATTATTGTAATATAGAACTTTTCATAAATACTACGTGATCAACATACGCCGAAGTGACGCCACCATCTTAATAAAATATTAATAAAAATACATAAAGCAACATTTACATTTCAAAATACAGAAAAAAATATATGTCAGAATTTAAAGCGCCCAGTAAACGATAATTTTTTGATCAACATATCTATTTATTTTATTTATTCAAAACACAATATTACAGTTCACATATAGTTTTACAAATACATTTGATATAAATTTGTTTTAATTTTTATAATCCTGTATTTTGATTATTTAATTATATATCCTTGGCTTCTTTACTAGTTTGATTCTCTGTGTTAACGGAGCCAAAGACTTCCCTTAATTCGGTTGATATTATGAAATTCACAAAAACAAAATAAATACAAGTACCTCACCATTATTTAATAATAAATATAAAATAAAAATGGGAAATTTATATTATTTTGCACTTATTTAGGTATGTAGATGGGTGTTGCGTGTGGTTGTGTGTGTGTAGGCATATTATTAGTGCATTTTAAAAGACTGCATCAAAACAGAATCATACAATGAAGAAGCGATTTTAAAACATAAAAAACTACGAAAAAATTGACAAAATATATCTACACCAAATGCATAAACGTCAACACACCCCGTTAGCGAAATATAAAGATAAAGGATTGTTATCATCTATCTCAAATACTTCGGTTTGCGTAATAACACACAACAATTAGCGATTGCGAATTGCCTACGTATTGCGTCAGAAATCACAGAGAAGAGATTCGAAATTACAGTATCAACGTTGCGTTGTTTAAAAGTTTAAAGTTTATCAACCTTTTCATAACACAGTGCCCCTCAAACCATGATAATGTTTCCCTTAATTTAAGAGGCAGATAATGAAGTCATAACTTCCTACTTAGTGCACGTCATTGAGATGTGTAGAGCGCATGGAACTAATCATTCATTGATAAGCGGAATGAGGCATATTTTTTCTATAATACTTTAACGTGAAGTAATACGAAAGTGCTATCACCTTAAATTTATTTTAAGTTAGAAATTATTAAACATTAAATGGGACTTTAATTTATGTCCATTGTCGAAACTAAACGTAGATCTTTTTTTGGCAGCTTTTGCTGCTTTCGTCGTTCCCCTGACATATATTCCTCAGGGACCTGGAATGCAGGTGTCTTTATTAAAAAAAAGTTTACAGTGTTTCTAAATCTAAAATTACATCTATCTTATTTCTATATAACAGATTTTATCGCCTGGGCGATATTGATTTTAAACTGGTTTAAAATCAATAAATTAAATTATTAAACGTAGTTTTTATCACGTTGGAAAAACAAAATATGGTAAAATATAACTATAAAAATACATACCTTAAAAATTAATAAAAGGTAAATCCGATTTCCAATTACGTATAACCCTGTTTTACTTTATTTTTAGTTTTCCTCTTAATAGCAACTGCTTTATCGTCATCACGCCTGTTATTGCTGTAAATTAAAAAAATCTTTTTCAGATTTTTTTCTTCCAAGGTAATATAAATTATACCAAATATATGTGCAATGTTGCACAATTTAATAGGTAAATGAAAGATGGCGATAAACGGTATACTCACGATTTATTGATTCATAGAAGATTATCATAGTACCCAATTTCCTTCAATTACTAAGCATTTCTTGTTTTTAACAGAATTCATACATGCTACGTCACTTTCAATAACACTACACTGAATTGTAGGTAGAACAACATTAAATTAACATTAAAAATATTAATTCCTTTTGACTTTTTATACTAAAAACACACTCCTTATATTCAATTCCATATGAAATTTCATATTGGATATGATAATCACAGTACCCGAGTAACATGTACCCGTCTACTAAATAAATGTTTGTTCCAGATACACAGATTTCTAAACATTATGCTATTTGTTGACAAATGTAAAAAATAATGTGTTTTTAAACAGAGATCATGATAATCTTTTTGAACTTTCGCCTCATCATACGACCGTGATAAAAAGAGAGAGTTTAAGAGCCAAAACAAATTTATATGTAACGTTTTTATTAGCTAACTTTTTTGTAAAATCTATACTAGTTAATATAATAAAGCGTAAAAACACACTTCTTTGTTGCCTAAGATGTCAGCAATCACAGCATATTTTCGGATAACTTTTTTTTTAATAAAAAGCCTAAAAGGAGTAAATATTTTGGATAAAATCCTTGATGTGGGAAAGAGAGCATAAGTTGTTGCCAACATCAAGGAAATAAGATTGACTGCGGAAAATTAATAAATAGGGAATTTAATATTCATAAAATCCGAAGGAGAACAGCATACTTAAGCGCCAATAGCCTAATGGTTTATGGTACGGACAACCGATCTTGCGGTCTAGGGTTCGAATGAGTCGTGAGCCATATCCTAGCACAAGTTTAGAGCTTAGTTGGCATGAGTAAAGGAAATATTAGTAAATGAACAAAAATCTACTTATATTTTTATGAACAAAAATAAATCTAGATTGAAAAAACTATAGATTGTACTAAGCGACACCCATTAACCAAGACCTGTAATTGATGTAGTGTTAAGTGATTGTTGTCTCTTTGCCTATGTTTTCAAATCAATAATGAGAATGCACGTTTACCATTAGGGGCGTTATCTCTAGTTAAGTTAGCAAATTCACAAGAATTAATCTCAGTTTCTGTTCGCGATTCATACGTTTCAGACTGTTGCAGTCCTTTACATTTATTTCGTGCTTTTCATGTGTATACAAGGTGTTAATTAATAATTCTACAGTTTATAATTTCATTATTTAATAAGGTAAATATTTAAATGTTCAAATTATTAATTACCATTAAAACAAGCTTTCTCCACTGTCATTTATACTATTTTTTGTAAGATATCTTTTATGTTTTTTTTATTATCCTATTACCATATCTCATTATGTATAAAATACAAGGATAATTTAATAAACGTAAAGAAACGCAACCTGTACTATTATATTACAGTTGCGGAAGCTTCGCGGATAGTCTATTATTAATTTATTATTCTATACAGTATAGCATTTAACTTTATTAACATTAATCACATATTTTTTTAATAATTATAATGCTCGAAGTTTTTGCAATTCTTATCAGAAATGACATATCCTGATTTAAAGGTTAACTCACTTAAAAGCATCCCTTTAAAAAATCTCATACTTTAAAAATTAAAACCATCACCGAGCTAAAATAGAACAACGTCTACTTGGTTTCGGCAGGTTCAAAGCAAATTGAAACTTTTGATAAGCTCACATTACTGCAAGCAACAATATGATATTACATATTTATACTTGTATACTTTATCTTAGACCCACAACGAAAATTGAGAAGTTAAATGGATAGTAAGAACACCCTTAGAGAAGATTTCGTATGAGGCATCTGTACTATGGAACTGGTGTAGTAACTATTTCGGGACTTTTAGTGAGCAGTAACTTGTTTAATATTACTTTCCTCATTCCCTCTCGATCTGAGGAAAAAAATCCCAATAAGTTAAAATAAAGTGGTGTATAAATTGTTGTTCTTTTTCATTTCCACGTATTATATATTATTGTTGTTTTACTTTAGGTTTACCCGTTAAGTAAATAATACATTACTTTTGATTTTTCCTCAACAAAAGATATAAAATGCCCTTATATAGGACAGAGGAAGCGTAATGCACGGGATAAGATACAAATGAAGAGTGACTCAGGGTGGGAGAAGGAGATTGAATCTGCTCTCACCATGACCATGACACAAAACGTAGATTTATAAAAACTCTACTTCTTAAAACGGGTATTTACCGTATCAAGGCTTTGGTTGTTTGTTTTTACAAATAATTGCAAATCAGATATATCTTAAATAATAAAATAACTGTGATATACTGATTTATCGAATATTTATTGATGCATTATATTATTATCTATGGCCAGATTAAGCTAGACTTTACTATGTAAGATTATAACCACAATGTTGAAATGATATTAATAATACAAAAGAATAACATCTCTAAACATGCTCTTAATATAAAAAAAAATATAGTTAAACGAATGTGTTATTTTATTTTGAAGATGGTCTCGAACTTTCAACTTTACACGTGACTAGTGAAGCGGTTCTTATCTCAAGCAAGATTGCGTTAAAATTAATTATTGTGCACATGTATAGTAGCTATATAAAAACAATATAATTTTTACACTAAAACCATTTTTTTTTAATTACTAAAAGAGCGAGTATACCATAATACCTATTCTTGCAACGTTGCGGCTATATTAACGTTAGGGGAGTTTTGGCGGGAACTTGCAAGTTGTCTATAAAGGAGTTTATTAAAATTGTTAGATACATTGATACCATTTTACAGAGAACAAACTAACTATGGAATTATATAATATTCTTGAATAATGATCTAAATATTTAATTCCGCATCTACTGTTAAATCATGAGCGATTATTGTTAACTTCGATCAACAACATATTTGTTGGAAGATTGTCTTTATTGGACCGTTAGCGATAGAAGGCTGATCCTTCGTTTTTATTACTTTTTGCCCTTTTATTTTTTTCTGGTTGAATATAACACTTGTCTCCTATACAAACGTAATAACATAATATCCATCATGCTAGATTCGATTGTTATTAGTTAAAAAGGTACCGTGAGTTTGTAATTGAGAAAGGAAAATCGTTTTTCCGCGAAAAAAGGTTCTCTAGAGTGATTTAATAGCGTCATTGTATGAGGTTATGAGATTATTAAACTAGTACAATTTAAAAATTTGATAGTCTGTTATATACCTAAGGTTATCAAGGTATTTAATTTATAAGATTCACCAACGAGTTTGAATGAAAATGCCCACAATGAAAACTATGGATTTCATATTGACGTCTTTTACTATTTTATAGGTTATACAGAATCAAAACAAAATATTTTGACCAATAGAAGAGCAAGAGTGGATGACAGCAGAACGTGAGCTTATCGCTGATTGGCTATAATTTGGAGCGCTGTGGCGCCTCTCCGACCTTATAAATAACAGCGCGAACTCGTAGCAGACCTCTTTTCCACAGTATTATTTCGAGGGGATTTTGTTGGGTTATTTTTGTGAGCTAACTCCAAATTCAGAATGCCGGAGACTGCGAAAATGAATGGATACGCAAAAACTAACGGGCACAGTTATGATATGGAAGATGGATCAGTGTTTTTATTTACATCAGAATCTGTCGGCGAGGGACATCCAGGTTAGTTTTTCATTATACTTCAGGACTCGTGCGAGTTATCAAATCGAAAGATGGCCGCCTCAAACATGTGCGCAAATATTTTAATGAATTGTATTTCTGTTAATGTTCTGACAATGATAATATGGACCGGAGTAGGAATAAATCCTATTCACTTCATGTACCTACGAGAATACGTAGAAGCAAGGGCGATATGTCGTTACATCATATTAAATGTAAATTGAGAATGTTTCCAGTAATTGATATGAATAATTGTCAATATAAAACACCACGTGGTGTAAGAAGATATTTTGCAAAATGAAATGAAATCTGAATAAATTATGACTTTTAAACTATTAGGAATACATTGGTCGCTTTCATTATTTCAGACAAAATGTGCGATCAAATAAGCGATGCAGTTCTTGATGCGCATTTAAAACAAGATCCTGATGCAAAAGTAGCATGTGGTAAGTCAAATATAGAAGTAATTATCACAACATCGGACAGCATTTTAGTATACTAAAATTTATTTTATGATTGCCAGAAACCGTCACTAAAACTGGTATGATTCTGCTGTGCGGAGAAATAACATCAAAAGCAAATGTTGACTATCAAAAAGTTGTGAGAGAAACTGTGAAGCATATTGGATATGATGATTCTTCCAAAGGTAAGCACCTAAACAATGTTTCTCATAGAGCTAGTTAACTGTACCAAGATTTCTGTCCATTGGCTGCCCGCCAGGTACTGATTTGAGATTTAATGTTGGTATGAAATGTTCTTTGACCTTGGAGCACACTCTGAGTAATGATTTTGTGAACACTAGGTTTTGATTGGCGTACACTAAATTTATTAGTGGCTCTAGAGGAGCAAAGCCCAGACATAGCCGATGGGGTGTATCGGAACAGAGAGGAAATTGATTTTGGGGCTGGAGATCAGGTACAAACTTCAAATAGAGCCTGTTAGCACGAAACGGGTCTAGATTTCAAAATTTTAATGGGAAAATCATATTGCATGATCATTTGTGATTATAAGACATTTTTCATTTGGGTATCGAACATGCTCCAATAAGTGATTGACGAATTATTTAGGATATAATTAGGTTATATGTTGAGGTAACCTTAATGTGCATGTTGGGGCCAGGCTTTGACTACAAGACTTGCAGCGTGATGTTAGCGCTGGACCAACAGTCACCCGACATTGCAGCGGGGGTGCATGAGAACAGGAGTGAGGAGGATGTTGGGGCGGGTGACCAGGTGGGTTTATAACAACATTCAAATTATTCACAAACTCCATGACACTGCAATTTTTTTCATATCAACCACGATGTTTCATTATTGGTTCATGACTTGGAAGTTACTTTATTAGTCATTCCTTACTAATAAATGAAAATTTTGTGAAAGAAAACGGGTTTTAATACAATTTTTTCTACATTAGTATTTTTCGATGTATTCTAAAGTACTAGATGTAATTTTTATTTCTAGGGATTAATGTTTGGATATGCTACGGATGAGACAGAAGAGTGCATGCCTCTCACAGTGGTGCTCGCCCACAAATTAAACCAGAAGATTGCAGAGCTCAGGCGAAACGGAGAATTCTGGTGGGCACGTCCTGACTCCAAATCACAGGTAATATAATAAGTACAAAGACTCCTTTTTTTCCCATTATATAAAACCATCTATCATCACATTAATTATTTAAGAAGTTATAAAAAAACATGCTGAGAATAATAATTAAATAGATTGTATTTTTTCACAATTATGACATTTACATAATATTTTACAATGAATAATATTACATTAAAATGTTACAAATGACTATTTCGTTTTTATAATTACAAACATGGCACTTCTATGTTGAAAACAACTTTTTTTCTATGAACAGTTTTAATGCAACTATTCTCTATTATTATTACAACATTGAAATACACTGAAGTAATATGTGTTGTTGTGCACACAGAAAAAATAATAATTTGCATCATAACAAATGTTAACACATAGTACAAAACAACCAAAAAAAAAGAATATTGTTAGCTCATGGTAAAGTCTACATCGCTATTAGTCTGAGTAGAATAAATCTTAGAAAAACCATTTGAGGTGAAAGAAAAATATTCATAAATAGATTGTGATGGATGTCTTCCATTTTCTAACCTAATCTGGAGTAATATCTTATTTTGTGCATTAGTTTTTACTTTATCTTATCAAAACATGACAGGTCTGTCTGCTGTCAAATTAATGGTCAAGGCAATGTATTTTTATATGAGATAAATCAGTATAATTTACAATAACCTTGGCAGTCTGCAAGTGTGTAATTGATCGCTATTTTCTATTACCATTTTAAATTTGATAGCTTTAACACTAGAAATAGGATTGTATGTCGTATTTTCGAATGAAGTAAACATTTTATGCTGTTTAGACTACTTGGGTTCTAAATTCAGATTTCTGTTTACTTATTTAAAATAAGGCCATTAATTATGTCTAAATGAAGTCCTTATCTTATTTTTTTTATTAAATGTATTCCATACTGAATGGTGTATTTTATTGCAGGTGACTTGCGAGTACATCTTCACTGGGGGCGCCACTGTGCCCCAGAGGGTCCACACAGTTGTTGTTTCACTGCAACATTCCGGAAAGGTATGTTAAAGTTACAAAAATATTTTGTAATAACTTGATACTGAGAAAGGGAAATTTCGATGGTTTTGATGAAAATACTTGACTTAATAGTTTAATGAGTATCCTAAGAATTTTACAATTATAGCTGATGTTACTTGATTGTATACTAACATTTCCAAATCTTAAAATAGTGGTCAATTAACTAACCCTCAACTTTTGTGAAAATTAACATTGTATTCTTAAAAGCTATAGAGATCCTATTAAACCTTGCAGTCAAGGTGAAAAGTGTTAATGTTATTGTGGAAAAATTGTATGAAATCAAATTACCACAAGTTGATTACAGTTTTCCATAACAAGTTGTGTTATGATTAAATTTTATACCAACGATACGATAATGAAATTGCTTAAGAAAATAGCATTTCACATTTCATCATGCAAACTGTAAATAATTAAATATTATATCATCGCTATGTCGTTGATAACCTATTTATCACTGTCAGTTATAAATATTTTTGTTTTTACATCTTAGCGTCATAGTGATCCAAACACGTTCCAATAAAATAGATGACTCAATTATCTCTAAGTTTTACCCACTTCAAAAAACCCCCTACGAATTGGTAAAGAAATTCATAACATATTCCTGAAATACTTTTCTAGTGTAGTTTAATACTAATATGCATAGTCTGTAATCACTTTAGTAGCTAGTTTGCTCTTTATTTTAGTTTTTAAAAACTAAATATATAATATTTTACTTATAGATAACTTTGGAGCAACTTCGCGAGGAGATCAGGGAGAAGGTCATCAAGGAAGTGATCCCGGACCAGTACTTTGACGACAGGACTATTGTGCACATCAATCCTTCAGGACTATTCATCATTGGTGGACCTCAGGTAAAAAAATAATTACACTCAGAATCGAATAAAAGACGGTAAAGTGTAGCTTAAGTGTACTTTTGTTTTAAGAATTCTCTGTGAAATGGCCAAAGTGACCACTAAACGACAACGGTGTTTATTCCACTTACTAGAAAATAACAACCTTTAAGAAAGTCTATAGCAATTAATTTTTATTCTATAACAATTATGTATTAACAAAAAGTTCCATGTCAATCTAGAACTAATGCATTATGCAAAACTTGCATTAATAGCTTGTCAGCATTAATAATACTTTGCAATATGTTTTGAACAACAATAAATAACACGGTCATTCGTAATGTGATTCGAAATTTTACACCTATTCTGAATAAGGTCTTGCGAAACTATACAAGTTTTTTTCCTAGAAATGAAACCCGGTATTTGCTTGAACTATGGTTGCTTATCGTTATTAATTTTATATAACGCAAATTAACAAAAAAGACAATGTATGGTTTAACTATAATTTTTATCTAAATACTGAAGCTATAAATTATTCTAGTACATTCAATGACTAACTTAATTTACACCATACCTTAGCCTTATCGCGACGTTTACCTATTGCGTCATGTTTCGTCAGACATCTGACGTCACAAGCGTCAGTATACGTCAAGTCACGCTATGATTTTTTATTTACCTTATGTCGTTCGAGTACCATAGAATGCGGAACTGAAGC